ACCACAGCTCCTGGGTGCAGAGGATTTTATGAGCATCTCACTTGCTCTTTTGGGGTTTCATCTTTTTTTTCCACCATTAAATGCTGCTTCTTGCCTTTCAGGTTGCTGGGAAATCATGAGGCATGTACAACCTGCAGAAATCGGGGTGCAGATGAGGCAGATAGTGCTTTGGGTTTATTTTAGTTTTAAACTCTGGGTTTTCAAAGGCCAAGGCTGGGGAGTGGGGGGAAGGGATCACTCAACTCGACCAGCCCTGATCGTAATCTCAAGCAGAGGAGTTTGTGTGAAATTAGCTTTTCAGCCAGGGCCAGTCCCCGTGTGGAGGCAGCCAGGATGCGGGGGACCAAAGGACACGGAAATGAGTCAGGCAGCACACAGCGGGGGACGCCAGGGAAGGTGGAGAGTTCAGCCCAGGACTGCTGAGAGAGGATGAAATGCTGGGGGACGAGCTGCCTGAACGGCACAACACGGGTACCACAAAGTCCCTTCCCCCAGGTGATGCAGAGGGACCATCATCCTGGAGGAAAGCTTTTCACCTTTGGGATCAGCTCTGCCACAGGCATCTTGAGCCCCCCACCCACCGCTCTGGGTTGAAAACCTTTCCCTCTGGGGCTGCTTTCCCCTTTATAGGGCCAGTGCGACGTAGGACAACCCACATCCCACTGCCTGGCACCGGCAGCCAGGATAAAGGGGGCTGCCCCAGCACAGCCACCAGCCAGGAGCAGGGCACGGACTCCAAAATCAAGAGAGGGCTCCAAAACTCCACAGATCTACATGAAAGCCACACGATGCCATTCATTTTGCTGGACTCTTGGTTCCTGCAGCTGGGGAGCATCGCTGCCAGCCTTTCATCATGGCTGGGGTAGGCGAGACAGGCCGGTCCATATCCGGCGATACGTCTGCAGCTTCTTCCAGCTGCAGCATGTTCACCATCACTCCCTCATGATTAACATGTCTGAAATCGAGTCTGGACCATGACTTGGTGAATTCTCCCCTGGACAAGGATGGTGGCATCTGTTCTGTCTTATTTCTCTATGTTTGCATTTTCTGACAGCAGGAGATAGGCCCATCCCCGCAGCTTCAGGGCAGCCTCAGAGGTGCACAACCCACTCTCACCCTGATGACCAGCTTTGTGGGTGAGATGCAGATCTCCAACGGATTTTCCAGCCTTGGACAAAAAAAAAAAGACCTCTGCTGCTTTTTGGGGAAGGTGATGGTTCCACAGGGGTGTGGGTGACGGGGGCGGGGACTATGAGCCATCTCTTCCTGGGGACAGGCGAAGGTGGACCCATCTCAATATAAACCATCTCTGCAAGTAACTGGGGAAATCCCAGGTGGCCGGGGCTGGCCAAGGACCTTAAAAAAGGAAACAGCACATGCGCAGTGTGCATTTAGTGGTTATCTCACCATCAGTCCCAGCAAGGTAGTAGAAAAGCTGATCTGACAGAGATTTAAAAGGGAGAAGAATAAATCAAACAAATCCTTTATAGAAAACAGACCTGACCTGGCAAAGCTGTTTTGATCATGTTCATGACTTTGGCTGCCTCAGCTGCAGCAGTTGTCCTGTCCTGCAGGCACTGCACTTAGATCTTTCTCCCCCAGGGTTATCGATCAGCTGAAAGGAGAAGTGCCACAGCATCAATAAAGCATCTGCAAACACGGCTGGAAAAGTAACTCTCACCCAGGGGCGAGTGGCATTTCCAGGGGAACTGTGCTGCCGAGCGGGTGTCCTAGCATGCCCGGCAGTGCCCGTCCTGCCCCAGCAGCTCTCTCCAGCAGCCCCAGCAATGCAGCGCTCCGTGAGCGCTGGTTCTGAGCATGGAGGGTGATTATGCACCGACACACTCCCACGGGGGCAGTGATTTCCCCAGGAGCTGCTTGCGCCTTCTGTTCAGGGATGCAGAGAAGCCGTGGAGAGCAATACCCACACAGAACCAGTGGGATGGGGACATCCTCAAACCCCCCCCACCCCGACGACCCCTGCAGATTTTTCAGAGGGGACAATGAGAGCTCAGGCCCCAACAGGTTCCCAAACACCCTTGCCAGCCCCCAGATTTGCCACCTTCCCCTGCGCCTCTTGGCAGCAGGATCTGTCCCATATGTTTTGCAAGCACCAACAATTCTCACCTCCTCCGTGGAGCTCAGCTGTTCTCCCCCACCCCACCCCTGGATGCTCCCACCACACCAGGGGTGGTGGGAGGGATGTGGGGATGAGGCAGCATTTCCTGGGATCCCACCTGTACTGCCTGCATTTCCCAGAGGGATTTCCCCAGCCGTGGGATTTCCCAGCGAGCAAGGGTGATAAAAGTCAGGGCTGGCAGAGCCCCAGGACCCCACACCACACTCTGCTGGGAGAGAGGACAGGCAGAGATGGAGGCTGGAAAAGGGTGCCGGGTGCCCTTTCCCCAGCGTCGCTGCTCCTTGCCATGATCCGCAGACAAGCCCAGAGCCAGAGCTGCAAGTGCCAGCGAGGAGCCCCCTCATGAAACACAGGAATACAGGGAGGAAAAGGATGGTTTTCAGCCCAGACCACATGTAGGACTGGGGGACCGGCAGGGCTACCCCAGAGCAGAGACTGGATCCGCTCATCACAGCAGTGGGTCTGCTCTCTCCAGATCTCTCTGGAGAAGGAGACTCCACAACCTCTCTGGGCAGCCCGTCCCAGTGCTCGGTCACCCTCACAGTGAAGAAGTTTTTCCTCACATTCAGATGGAGCTTCCCATGTTGCGGTTTGTGCCCATTGCTCCCTGTCCTGTCACTGGGCACCACTGAGAAGAGTCTGGCCCCTTCCTCTAGACATCCACCCTTTAGATATTTATAAGCATTAATAAGATTCCCTCTCAGTCTTCTCTTGTCCAGACTAAACAGACCCAGCTCTCTCAGCCTTTCCTCATACAAGAGATACTCCAGTCGCCTCATCATCCTTACAGCCCTCCGCTGGACTCTCCCCAGTAGTTCCCTGTCTGTCTTGAACGGGGGTGTCCAGAACTGGACACAATATTCCAGATGTGGCCTCACCAGAGCAGTGTAGAGGGGGGAGGAGAACCTCCCTCGACCTGCTGGCCACGCTCTTCTTAATGGACCCCAGGACAGCATTGGCCTTCTTGGCCACGAGGGCACACTGCTGGTCATGGAGAGCTTGTTGTCCACCAGGACTCCCAGGTCCTTCTCCACAGCGCTGCTTCCCAGTAGGTCAACACCTAACTTATACTGGTGCTTGGGGTTACTCCTCACTGGGTTGCACGACTCTAACTTCCCTTACTGAATTTCAGGATGTTCCTCCTGAGATGCAGGTGAGTCTCGGCGACCCAGAGGTGCTCAGGGGCTGCCAGCTCCAGGGGCACAACTAGGGCTGAAAATCCCCCGTGCTCCAAAATCCCCCCATCCACAGGATCCGCTCACCCCATGGGGCCAACACCAGCGCGGGGGCTTGTGACGGAGGGATACTGCAGGTGCCAAGAACGTCATCCCCAGAATTCCCTGGCCTGATGTATCCCATCATTTTGCATGGGAGTCTTTAGAAGGGGCCTTTCCCAGTGCAATAAACCCTCTTTTTTTTTTTTTTTCCTGGTGTTTCTGTTTCATTTTCTTATTGCAGAGAATATTTTCTACCCTTAGGAGGCCACATTTACCCCAGCTGGACCAGGAGGTCATCGGTGCGTGGGAGTAAGAAGGGGGATAAGAGGGAAAAGATGGATCCAGGGAGGGAAAGGCGAGCCAGGCAGCTGTGCTGGACCAGGACCAGGGTCATCCAGTTTCCTCTGCTCCCTGGGGTTTCCTTGAGGAGAGATTAAATGGGAGTTGGGGTGATGATGTGAAGGTGCTCTGCTCCACCAGCAGAGCACAGAAACATGAACCCCCCC